CTGCCGTCAGTCTGCTCCGTAGCAGCTACAAACGATTGCCGCGGAACGATCGCCTCTTGATTCAGCATCAATGTGTACAATTTTTCGATCGAAAAAACAAAAGACACACTACACTCGGCTCAGTCTGCGGTATGTTAAGACGAGACGGTGCGTGCGTTTGACTCGGACTAGTCAGTACGCCGTTTTTTATATTTTCCAGTAACATTATTAATTTCTACTTTCTACCCTCTCGGTTTGAGAATGTTCTTCTTCTATTCTCTTCGAATCATCATCATATTCATTTTCTTTTCCTCTTCCTCTCTTCCTTTCTTTCGATTCTTCATTCAGGATACTTTTGTTTTGCTCTCGATATTTTGCAACTTCATTTTTCTAAGCTATGTGTAAAGCCTAAATGGGACAATTAATAAAATCGATTATAAAATCGGTATCAAAGTGCAGTGCAGGTGAAAGTTTTAAAAATCAAATCTGTAATGTCTTATTATAATGTACCTTTATTTAAAATCATTAAGCATTTTTTCTACCTTTCATCTTTATAATGCTTTGTCCCGGCTAATAATGCGGTCGGATCAAAACCTCTTTGTGAAATATATCCGTTTCCTTGTATTTCATAAGAAATGCGCTTGTGCATGATCTGCTCAGAATGTTGTACAACACTTCACACCATTGTATAAAAACAACCTTGAATACCAAACAATAACTTACATTTTCAACTTTACTGCAACGGATTACAACACACGCAACAGCATAGATAATTTTGTAAATACAGCTAATCCGCAAAATGAATCCATTTGCGCAAACCCCCATAACATTACAAACTTACATTTGCGTTTAATAATAGATGAATTTAGAAGGGATTTATTTGAGAATTATTTTTCTAACTGCACCGTTATTATGGTTGTCACAGTGCTTTTATGTAGAGGCGTTAGTTTTGACACAAAATGTTTTTTTCTGCATGTTTTGTAGTGTTTTGCGCAAATCTCGAGGGTGTGCCATTATCAGATAGTTTTCGCGTGTGTCGGGTATTAGGATTAAATTTTTTGTATTGTTGTTATCGTCGAGACGAACTAAGCGAATCACAAGGGGCTATCTTTTTCACGAAACGTTGTTTCGTTTTTAGATTGTAGCCAAATTCTCTGGAAATGATGTTTATAGTAAACTACCAAGTTGATCATACTTCAAGTCGGAAAATTCTAAATACGTACAGAATTTTCCGATGAACAAGCTCCAATAATGCCTTGATAACCCGGAGATTTAAGACTCCCACTTCTCATGCATGAGGATGCAATTAAGAAACCTACCAACGGCAAATACCAATGTGACATTTTCCGAGTTATATGCACTTTCTAAGATTGTTTACACATCACTGACAAACGATGAAAGAAAACATCGTGAGGAAACCTGGGCTTATTAATTTCTAATTATAAGTTTGAAATCGCCAACCCGCATTAAGCAAGCGTGGTGATTAATGCTCAAACCTTCTCCTTGTGAGAAGAGGCTTTGCTCAGCAGCATAGGCTATTGATGTATGTAAACTCTAATAAAACAAAACGCTGCGTACAATAAATGTCAACAACTAGGTACATGTAGTTACAATAAGTTAATTTATCAATTGTCTCCACCTCATTGTTAGAAATCTGTAGTCAGCAGAGCATTCTGTAATCTGTGATCAAAACAAATTGACACTTACTGACACAGACAACTAATTTCGCGATACGAAAGCTCAACAAACACGAAATCGCTCTCAAATAATCGTTCAGCAATTAAAACTGCTTATTTCCTTAATTCAGAGCAATCGGACGTTTAAAGAGCCTTCCCTAATCATTCAAACAAATTTCAATCTTATGTAACAGTCCTAAAACACGTTTTAGCTGTATCTAACATGATGATTTTCCTATCAAAATGTGTTAATAGAAAACCAGCTTTATCCAAGTACGTTAAGGTTAAACGTTGAAAAGCAAACGATGATGAGGCGAGGTAAATGGGAAATTGTGCGCTAACTCGCCGCCGTCGGAATAAAACAACTCTTTGCGCTAATAATGAGAAAGAATGCACAGAGTAGTGAAAAGAACAGATACTGCGGTAAGTAGGTACATAGCAGTTGCAATTAATTAAGAAAAGAAATAAATATTTTATTTACACGCTAAAACAAGTGACATATAGAGATGGATATATATGTTATGATCAGATAATCCAGTGTCCATATTTTGCCTAACAATGCTAAAAAACGTAGGGTGAACTCATCTAACTTCGTGACAAAGGCATTTGAGTAATAAAATACCAATAAATTATTAATTAATTTAATTCAGTCTCCGCATGAGTTTTAATCAGTCTTTTATGAGGAATATTAGCACAAATAATTAGATTTTTTTCTAGAAACCTAAGAGTTCTACCAAATTTACTAAACCGAATTATTAGGCGAGTCACAGAATTAGATGAGTTCACTATAGGTATAAAAATCACCAAATCTTTGAAATAAGTAGGTACTTTAAAAAGGTAAAAAAAATCATTATTACTTTTATACAAGTATTGGAGTAATAATAATAAATTGTAATTGTAATTTTCACAAAAAGTATTGCATGTTAATTGGCAGAATGTAGCTGATCAAATTATTTTATAATAACTACTGTAACATCAACACTTGACCTATATTCGCAATAACTGATTTGAATTTGAATTTGAAAAAAAAACATTTTTTGGTTTTTAAATCAGTCAAAATTTTCGGTACTTACTTCTGTTGTGGTCAATTCTAGTTACCTCAAAATGATATTATCAACGTTCCTATGTTAGGAGTACATACATAAGTAGATTTCCTCTAAGCCTGAATGTCAAATAGACAGTCATCCAAATATTTACTCAGAGATCGATTGAGCACTGAGCGCCATATAGGTCAGTGCAGACATGTAAACAAATTTGTAATCAAAACCATAACTATTCATCCATTTCCTGTAGCTAGGCCGATAAACCAATGTTATCGTTTTGAATATAACTAAAATATTGATCGATAAACATATAATTCTGGTCAAATACAAACTTTTATTAACTCCTTCATACTCGAAGGGTAAGGGTGGCACTTATTCCATTTAATAAAGAGTAATTGCGACTATTGCGATACACCGAGTAATTTTCCAGACTCAATTCCATTGTTAAGATTTTTTAAGCCAAAGAATACCTCAATAGCTTTCGAGTAAAGAGCGAACTCAGGCAGAATGACGCTTCAAACTCAAGGATCAGTATGATTCACAGAAAATTATATCTATGGTACGGCTCTTACTATTACTCGACTTAGGACCGATTATTCAATCATCGGTTAATTCTTAGTTGCAGAATAAAATTGACAATTGACAATTTTTTTATTGAAAGCATTGTCAAATATTCAAAGTTGTTACTTAGTTGAAATTTATTTGGCGTTGAAAAAATCTGTCTATAGTCATGTACAAAACAACTATTTGATTTATAATCTGCACTATCAATGAAATTTCTATCCACCATAGCTACTCTGTATAACAGATCGTTCAGAATCAAACGTCGAACATTAACCATTAGGGATGTGCTCCCGGCGCAAGAATTGCTTTCTTGCTTGATAACTTCATTCGTGTGTGTGTGTGTGTGTGTGTGTGTACACTGTTTACACGACCGGCTGCCAATCATTTGGGTTTCATTACAACATGTAATTCGTTCATTGGTCTATATGTTACTTTTCACCTTCACAAGAAGTCGTCCAAAAGGTCATTGATTGGATGATAACGTCAAAATTGAGAGTAATGGATGAGTAATGCACCAAATCGAGAAGTACGGCAAAAAAGGAGTAAGAGACTAGGAGTACCTATTCTCTCCCGGTAGGGCGAGATTATAATTAATCTTGGCTGAATGGATGGCATGGCCTTTTTATCATCATGGTCAACACTATGGCACATGCACATGACAGGCCACAAGCTGTTGAAAGCTAGAGAAGTGTGTAAGGATCATAAGTACCTACTTAATTATACGTAGTAGTGATGATGTATGTTCTGGCTTGTTCAAAATCTCCAAATGAGCGACTCATTGTTTCTGATTATTTATTTTTTGAAATATGAACAATGCAGGCAAGGATGTATACACAAAAGTAGGTAATTGAGAAAAATTTCGTTAGCGATCGACTGTGTGATCTTTGGTTCACATAAGGTGGTTGAAAATTATTGGTAACTTTTGCACCCACAATACTGGAAACTACAAACGTTTTTTAAAATTACTATAAATTAGATGAATTTATGAATATATGGTGGTATTGTGATAATATGTTTTTAACATTCATCTCTTTCCCATACCTTCTCAACATTATGAAGAAATATTTTATAGTTTCGAAATTATTGATTAAAAAACATTTAAAAATATTTGAAAATATTTTATTACTTAAATCAGAAATGTTATGAACTGTAATATGTACCTATAACAATTAATTAAATATTAATTACAAAATTCTTCAGCCTGCCATCTAGCGTCGAGTAGCTAGAACTCAATATAAATTGAAAACAAAAACCAACATAATTTATCCCATAAAAATTTGGAATATCAATTAAATTTGAAATTTTCTACGTAATAGTTTATTTTATTATGTTCAACAAAATAAAAAATACGCATCTAGCGAAATCATCTAGACTCGCCATCTAGCGAATAATAAATAAAACTGTAAAACAATTTATGAAAATAATATTCAAGTACAAAATAAGTTATCACTACAAAACATAATAATGGGAAATTATAAGTACCTACATGATATTACATTAACGAATATTAAATATACCTAATTAATAACTAAACTAATTATTCAAATATTCACACAAGTTTTAAATTAATAGGTAATTTCATAAAATCATTACCTTCACTAGAAAAATAACAGATGTTTCATTATTACACCTAATATAAATTTAATCTTATCATTAGTTTTGACTCATTAAAATTTGGTCCAAAAATTTGGCAAAGTAGACCAAAATGCACTTAAAGTTAAATGTAGAACAACGCCATCTATCCTTCAGTGGCAATCCTTTTTGGTTTCTGTAGGGTGCGTTGTTGCTCTTCCCGGATTATTTCTACGAGATTGCTTACTGCTTTGTCCATGTCCTCGTGGCGGATTTTACTAAACGTTAGCCGCAGATACGGACAGGGGGCGTTACTGTCGTATAAGAACGCTTGTCCCGGTACCAACATTAGACCACGTTGGAATGCAGTGTGGAATACCTGAAAATTTTTATGTTGTTAAATTACTAAAAAAGACATAACGTACCTAAATATTTAAATCGGTGTTAACAGCATAGAGTATCGGACACACTGAAGATAGTTTTTTTTGGAAGTGAGGGGACACCTATTTTATGTTTCTGAAATCTGGGATACTGCCAGTAGGTAACCTATTTCACACTAGGTAATTACTGCCTATAATAAAATGGCATACTTATTTGCCATTATTACTTCATTACCTACATCTGAGACCCAGACAAAGCAAAATTATCGAAAAACTTCTAAACACTATAAAATGTTTAATTTAATAAAATCTTACCATGTTATAAACATCGTCAACTCCATTGACTCGTAGCCAGAAGAACAGTCCTGCATCAGGCATGGAGTACGGGGCAAGATGTTCGACGGGCTTCAGTGCGGCGTGCAGAGCGTCGCGGCGCTCGCGGTAGAAGTCGCGAGCGTTCGTCAGGTGAGAGGCGAGCGACTTACGGCACTGAACGAGTTGTAGTAGGATAGCCTAGAAGATAAAAATATTTTATTTTCTACTTCAAGTGAAATGGAGTGCTTCAAATATGCTGTTTGTGCAGTAGTAATGCAGCTACTATTAAACGTGTAACGTTGTCGTTGATTGAATGGAATCGGGCAAATACACGGAAAATATTTGTGTGATATACAAATTATTGTTTTGGATCTCAATGTCATGAAATTGTGTTTGAATGGCCATATAGGTACTGATAGGAGAACCGAAATTCTCCAACAGTAAAATTCCTTCACTAATCCCTTAAACTGGCAGAAGGAAGTTATCTTAACCCTGGAGAAGTCGCGCTATGAGCATTTTGCTCATGTTGAAATAGATTTCGATTTTTTTTAACTTTATTGACATCTTGGCGTCCCGATCGTTTCTGTATCTTCCTAGAAATTCATCCCCTTCCCACCAATACAACGTTCGCGCTACTCAGTGCCACTGCGACTGCGCATCGAAGTGCTTGTGTTCAATGTGTACCGTTTGGCGGCATTTTGCTCATCGCGCGCCTATCCGCGTAAGTATTTTTTTTTGTGGGATATTGATTTATATTTTTTATTTACTTGATATATAATATATTTATGTTTTTTAAACTATCATGAAAGTAACTTATATTATTAGTAAGTATGTATATTTCCTTTTTTTTTGTTTTTAGGTATAAAATAACAAAATCTGTGACCAACAAGATTTCCAAATACTTTCATGGCTAGAAGAACCTTCTGATGATAACCCTTTGTCAGATTTGGAAGACGAGAACCGCGTAGATGCCATAGAAAGTGATATATAGTCACGATGATGATAATATAGATCAGGCAACAGGCGTAGAAGCTAAACCAGAAATGGTTACATTTTACAATCAAACGAAAGGTGGAGTGGATAGTGTTGACCAAAAGAAAAAAACGTATTCTGTTGCAAGAATCACATCCATGTGGCCCATGCGTTTGTTTTTGTTCTATTTTGAATATTGCCGGGATCAATGCGCAAACAATATGTAAATCCAATACAAATACCATGATCGAACGGCGTTTATTTCTAAAACAAGTGGCGCTGGTTAAATCACAAATATCTCGCCGAATTTGTATGTATATACATATATTAAATATATTATCTGATCTCAAATTTATTATGACGCGATTTGTACCACCACCTAGTGCACCAGTTGAACCTGGACCGAGCGGATATTGTGCGGTATGCCCAAGACGAAAAAATCGTAGGTCTAAAAAAGCATGCACTTCATGCCAGAAATTACTCTGTTCTGAGCATGTCAAATTCATGTGGCAGCCATGTTAAGAAAGGCATATAAATGTAGATCTCATGGAAGAATGTAAATTAGATTTTCAACTAATATTTTTAATTTCATTGTTACTTTTTTAAAAAGTGCCAAAAATTGTTGGGCCAAAGGTATAAAGATATTTTTGATTTAAAATATTACTTTTATGTTGATTTCTTATAATAAAACCTATCAATTTCAACTAATTAAATGTTGTTTTATTTATTTCAATTGATTTTAGTTCACTTGTATAAAGTTTAATATAAAAAATATATATTTAAAAAATGTGAGCAAAAAGCTCCCGCGCGCCTATCCGTGTTACATAAAAAGGCGCGCCTTCTAAGGGTCAACTTCGAATGTGTATTATCACTGAAAATTTTGGTGGGACAGCCACGTTATAAATAAGAAATCTAAACTACTGACCTGCGCTAATGTGCAGGAGTGTAAGAGTTCAGCTTGCGTATGTAGTTCCAAGCGCTGCAGTAGTGGCTTTGGCGCGGTAATCCAGGCGCCGCGCAGCCCAGCGCTCACTACCTTCGACACGGAGTCCAGTCGCAGTACGCGACCACATGTGTCCATTGAGAGGAATGATGGGATTGGTCGCTGTGGAATGAATAAATTATTAGGTAAACTCCAGAGAGCCCAGCGCTTTAAACATTGTTTTCTAAAGCATTAGAGGTTTTTTTTACTTTGGTTAAATAGAAAATACCTACATACGATGAATGGAAAGTTGAGTTAAATAAAAATTTAAGATCCTCACCAAATTAATTTGGCTCAGACAAGTTTAATACTCACATCAGTATAATTCAAGAACATGTAAGGATCATCTTCTACAATGAGGAAGTCGTATCTGCACGCTAGTTCATAGATCTGTCGTCGCCTCTCTTCTGGCAGCACTGTACCAGTAGGGTTACTACCAGTCGGAATAATATACATCATCTTAGGCATCTTCAACCCTCGTCGTAACCGCTCCCCTAGAACTGCGTCTAAAGTCTCTGGTATCATCCCATCTTCATCTTCTGGAATGCCTATGATTTCTGGCTGGTAGGGTTTTAGCTGCAAAGAACCAATAATTGATATTCATGATGATTAGAGTACCTACTATCGGTTTTTAGTCAAGGAATATTGCTTTAATAGTCTCAAAACTGTAAGGTCTATAAGTTTCAAAACCTTTACAAATAACTAGATTTTTCGATATAATTGTCAACATCACCAGAAGACCAGAAATTCTTTTCATTCAAAGTTAAAGTCAAGATACTGAATTTATAACAACAAAACAATACACTTTATCGTTTCTCTTATGGCCTCCACTGATCCTTAAAAGATAGTCATAAAGTAACCAATTAACACTCACAGTGCTATGTATCCCAGTGTAGGCGTACTCGCATGTGATGACAGGGTCTCCGGGTTCCACCAACAGCTCCACGCACTGGTAGATACCATGCTGTCCTCCATTGGTGACCAGCACGTCGCGCGGTACTTCAGGGGCACGATGCGTTTCAGACTGGAACTTCCGCAGCTCTGATAGCAAGGCTGGGAGTCTGGAAGAGGAGACGAATATTTTAAGGTAAAATTTAGATAAACGTGTGAAACTTATAAAGATTGATTTGAAAATTGAATTGCGTACAGACAAACACCTACAGCAACTTCTGTTTCGTATGATTTTTTTTTCTGTGGCATAAGCCATTAAACGAGCAGATGGATCACCTGATAGTAAGTAATTGACGTCGCTCATAGACGCCTGGAACACCAGAGGGGTTACAAGTGCGTTACCGTCTTTTGGGTTGGTTCAGAGATTGTGGAGATTGGGGGGAGGGGGTAATTGTGTGTTTAGAATTTAGGTACTGACGAAATTTTTTTGCAAGTTAGTGCAGTGTATCAATCAAGAATCACTCCTGATGTTGCGGATATTCATGGCCGACTGTTGTAAGAAATGCTGCTTAATTTGAAGTTTCGTGTCGAGGTGACATATATGAGGAGTTATAATGATGAATGAGACATAAGAGAGAGAGAGAGAGAGAGAGAGAGAGAAAGAGGTACTCTCTCGCGACTACTCTTTTTCGTAATAATATATTTTTTTAATTAAATGTACTTACCCCTGTGAAGGCACATACTGCAGCGCTGCAGCGAGGTCTTTACCCTCTAACACCAAACTTGAGAACTTAGTATCCATGGAGAGTCGTGTGAACGGGAATACTTGCTCGTTGGGCATGCCTTCCGCGAGGGAGATCATCTCTTTGCCTACCTTGTAGGCGAGGGATGCTGGAAATAAATACAAACACATATCAATATTATTGTCAAATACTTAAAGAACTGGCATAAGTTTATGCCAATACCTGTTTAACTTGTGTTCTGATTGTTTTTCCTAATTAGTTTCCAAAATTCAAAGCTGCAGATAAACCCGAATAATACTCGAGTGTTGTTGTTATTAGGTATATACAATAAGAAATTAATTCAGATACAGAAGGGACTCAGCTTAAACAAATTCATTCAAATTATCTTCAATCATTGACGACAAGCTTCGTTTATACAACGCATTAATTTATACAACGAAGGTTTGTACAGAAACAATTACAAAAGAAAGATTTGAAATAAGTAGGAGCTCAAAGTAGTATTTAACTAAAATGTTTACTTTGATGATTTCATAATTCTTGTTATCAGTCAAACGTAAGAGCAGAGACTTAAAGAGCTCATGTAGCCACACAGACTGACACGCCCTTCAAATTGCAGCTCTTAATAATCTTTCATATTACAACGACGCAATTCTTTTGCGTCACTCCAGATAAAGTTAGCATAATATTTGAAAGAGTTGTTTGTTCGTTTAGGTTACACTAGTCATCCATCAAAGTTATAAAATGTTTGCGCTTCAAACTATTTACGGCGCATGCTCTATTATGCACATACATTATAATGGATTACCAAAACTTGTCACGTTGGTTTGTTTTCCTCAAACGGTCAGGTAAAGGTGAATAATATATCTATGTACCTATTATAACACACCCACTTTTGACTTTAAGCTTAAGCAAAGAATGCTTGATTGTCAGAATCTATGATACTGTGCCAATGTTGATAGAAGCTGAGAGTCATGTAGCGAATATGAATGATACATACATTTAAAATGTTCGTAAGGAGATGGAAAATCACAAGAAAATAGATATGTAAGATCCGATCCGAGTGGAAATGTTTGATAATATATTGATTTTACTCGTAAACCTAGTTTAAACGTTGTCCTGTCTTTAAACGTAATACAGATGGTAACCATTTATGCTTTTACAACATTTTTCCGTCACCTAATAACGATAAATGTTTACACCACATTTTTCCTGTCTGATAAAACGACGTAATAAATTGAAACACTTTTTAATTGTAACATTTTATCGAAACAACGGATGCTACTATCGGCGGATGAAACGATTAACGTATGGATTGACGTTTGACATCTAAACGAGAATGTATTTTTGCGTAGCCCCTAAAATAGAAAAAAAAATCATCAATATTGTAAGCAAAACAAAATGCCTTAAATTGTACCTTAGTTTCAGCAAAAAGGAGGTATAAGAATACTCATAACAAAGTACTTAGATCAAGTCTGCACATGAAATGCAATAATACCAATTTGCAATGATATCAAGTCGATTAAAGCAGATAAAGCGCATATAAGGCCTTTTTGATTTTAATTAATGATGCAAATATTAAGGTAAGTGAACTTAATCATTATATATCATGTTAGATTAGATAATATTGCTTTACAGATAACGCCACGACGTATAATTTACCAGGTACGATAAAGTATAAAGAGAAGCCGCAGTTTGCCTACCAGAAACGGACAGATTCACTCGTGACATTGAATCATGAATTCATGAGCCTAGAAATAAACTAAATATTATTGTTTACATAAACAATATATTATCTACATATGTAAGTAGCTATATAATTTATGTAAACAGGAGCTGAATTGTACCTTATTGACCCTCATGTACCTCGGTAACCTCATTCATACGACGAAACGCAACGCAAGTGTTGTTTAACGTCTGTTTACTGTGAAGCCGTGGTATTACTCCGGTAGAGCCGGCCCATTGCCAAAGCATGGCTCTCCCACACTTAAATTCTATTAAGATTACAAGTTTGCGATATCTTTTATGTAACCGACATTCATTAGAATTTCACGTTGGTACATCAACATCGATAATGTTACAAGATACGTCTATATTTAGTTGAATGAACTGATTAATATATCCGTATACGGACTTATATTGTGTTAATCGGTAACAATTCAACAACCCGAATCGTAAGTAAATAAATATTCAATACAATCAGACAACAATGATTCCAGAATGTACTAAAGGTTAGCGACCATTTTCAAGGCTCATGAATATTCATAGCAAACGATTTAGTATGCAAAATATGTTTCGTGAAAAATGTTATAGTACCTTATCTACTTACATAATTGACAATTATTTTTTCTTAATATTTTCGGCTATTTGACGAGAAACTCAAAAACTCTGAAGCCATGCTAGAGAGCCGAAAACATAATAATTAATGGAGTGTCGTACGAGAGTTTTAATATAAACATTATAAACTAACGACTGATGTTCCCCGTAGGCCGTAGGGTTACCAACGATTTCGTTCGCCAGTCACTTTATGACTCTCGTGTAATTTTGGCCCTATTTGTGATGATAGTCTGATGGCCCTTTGAGGTGCGCGCGGAACGCCATACTAAAGACCATCCTACTACTATAGTACCGTACTAAAGACCACACTACCACCGAGATTATCGTTACAAATATTGGAACAAACTCTAAAACCTATAGATATAATAAAATAAAAACTGCGTTTAAAAAACCGACTTCAAAAAACCAAAAACTAATAACAAACAAAAAGTCAAAACTAAAAATCAAAAAATAACTATTATTACTACTGATAGGTTACCCACCCACTGATAGGTAAGAAGTCGGTGCCATATGTTCCATACAAAATTATTAATTAAATTCTTAATAGGTATGTACCTAATTCACAATTTTGTGGGCATTAAGTTATTTCATTGAGATATGAGCTAAGCTAGCGTAAAGTCCTCATCAATACAAAGTAATTAAGCCCAAACACAAGGTAGTTAATATAAACCGCTGAGGAGTTCCCTCGACTGTCTGTCGGCTCCACCATCAGGTCGACTCCAGACCCCTATCAAATTGTAGAGTTTAAAAATCGTAATTGAAAAACATAATAGACGCATTACTTGCCCATAGAATTTTCGAAAGTTCCCCTCGGTTTCCCTAGGATCCCATCTTCAGATCCTGACCTCATGGAAATGGGACCATCTCGGGAGTATACCCTTTCAAAAAAAAAAAGAATTTTGCAAATCGCTTCACGCATCTCAGAGTAATGCGCGTACATACATACAAAAAAAAAGCAACATATCGGCCGAACGTATAACCTCCTCTTTTTTTGCAGTCGGTTAAAAATATTAATGCTCAACCATGCCCGTCTACGACATTAGACGGTATAACAATCACGTTACAATACTCATTCAACTGAAGAAAAACAACTGAATAAGTTAACACACCTACTTATGGGTGTGTTACCAATTGTTTTTCGGTAATTAAGCAATTACATTATTTACTAATCCTTTGAGGAAAACAGGCGCAGTATATTTTTTTGTTATTTGATATGCGTTTAAGTATTTGTGATTAATTTGATTTGGGTGTGTAATGGCCGTTTATCTATGACGTGGCAACTTATCAATATAGAGTTCTAGGTTAGTTTTCTAAATGCGTTCATTTCGCGGCTTTGCTCGCGTAAAATATATTTTTTTTATTTTTACTGAACACGAATTTTATAATGATGACATTATCTTTGCACTTTTTACCTGCTATGCAAAATTGTTTGAATTTTATAAGGCGAATATTTTTCTAACATACATAGAATTAGGTCCCTATGTATAAAATTTTACACATTACTGACTGGTTAGGCCAATCTAAAAACTACTACCTAATTTCCGTCCAAAACCTGTAGAAGAATGACCATGTTTTATGAATAAAAAATCAGTACAAGTACTTATTAATACATACACCAATTGTTGATAAAAGATATCACATTTTATTCACGTTTCAATCGAAGTAATAAATAAATCAAATCAATCGTTATTGATTTTAAATAGACGATAATGATAATGACTGCATTAACGAATTTCCCCTCAATATCTTTGATAACATGTGTTATAAACACCTGATTATTGATAAACAATGAATCAGCACTATGTACCTCCATACACACAGTACATATGACTTTAATGGCTTAATTAAGTAAACATGTTATCTTGTCTCAACGTATTTATACTACTTACGTGGCATTTGTGCCTATTATTTACGTGTATTTATAATTCCGCATTTGTGGTACAACTTACATAGGTTCATGTTAAAACTTTCGTGGGACATACTAAATTAAAGGAAACATTAAAGTGTATTTATTGCTTCCATATAGTACACATAGATACATTCGATAAAAATATAATTTAAAGTAACAATTATTACTAAATATAAATATTTACAACTTAAAATTAACATTGTTTCATAATTGTCTTGTTTGACGGCCTCATTAGCCGAATAGTCGCAATTGCGGGCAAGGGATCTCGGATTCGATTTCCAGGTCAGGCAAAGTATTACTGGGTTTTAAAAAAAATCTCAGTAGTAGCACGGACTCTGGAATTGGGCCCGGTATATGGCGATAGGTTCAGCCCCTATTACATGGGACTCATAACATGAAAAGCGGTTTTTATACAGTACAGTGGCATTAAGTGCCGTAATGCCTACCCCTTCGGGGATAAAAGGCGTGATGTGGTTTCATAATTGTCGATTTTGATAAATTTCATTTGTTTGATTTTTACAAATCTACAATTAAGAAGACAATGATAAACAATTTTGTAACTACTGTACCTAAGAGTAGACTAAAGCCTATGTATGATAGTATTTTCATTTGTAAGCGTTGATGTTCAGCTGCCGAATTAAATTTTAAGCCATTTAAACAGTTAAAACTGCGTTTGATGACATATTTTAACGATTAGGCAATACGTATTTAAAAGTAAATAAATCATAGATAATGAAGATGTCTCTGTACATGCTTACGAAGATAACTGTGACGATAAGCCGTCCGCCGTCGACGACTGACTTATCTACTAAATACACTACGTATGTTGAAATTAATCATTACAATCCTTGTCATTGTGAAAACTACTTTAATTCTTCGTTAGCTTTAGAGTTTAATTTCTATTTTTTTATACTTTGGATTTTTCTGTAACTCTCTGCAGAGTTTTCTAACAGAACCTAGGTTGTGAACCACTTAATTCAATTCGAGATCATTTTGAGCATTCTTTCGGTTACTGTTATTAAAACTTTGAAAAATTCGTTAACATTACCTAACATTGTGGTAATTTAACATTTTAAGCTAACAATTTCTTGTTACGTCTCCATTATTAACGATTTTTTAATTAAATTACTTACCTGTTTTCTAATGAAATCCCAATCTAAAAATTATTTACTCACTGATTTGTCTCGTCAGCGCAGGCTCCCTACGCGCCGCCCTCGTACTCAAGTACCGATCATAGTCCTGTTCCGTGAGTGGTTTGTACCGGTCCTCCTGATAACTGTTCTCATTGTAGAACTTAAAGAATTCATTCACGTCAACATCTCTCTGCGAGAAATCTTTCTTCAGAATCAACGTCACAGCGCGAGCCTCGAACAATCTCTTCGCCAGTTCCCTGTTCACTCTCCTCAGTTTTGTAGTAACGAACATTTTACGTTTAGAAAATTTCTATAAAAATAATTTTCGTAGCGTCTTTTTTCGAGTTACTTTTCCCGCCACCGTCTATGTTCGTACTGCAAGGCGTTACCGCCGAAATCAGTGTACCTCAATTAAAATGCTTAGATTACGTCAAATTTGATGATAGCGTGATTATGCGATAAGGTGATAATGAACAACGAAATTGTTTAATTAGTCGGCACTGTTTGCTAAACACACGAAAAACACGAGAATGCTGTTAAATTCTTACTAAATACTAAATGAAATATTTTGGTGGAAATGTCGAATATGCTAAGTGCAAGTGAATGTTTGACCCCAACGAGCAAACTGAATAAATGACTGTATAATAAATATAAAAAATAATTTAACTACAACATCGATAATAATAATTATTTTATAGACATGAATATGGAGAGACATTAAATGTGTTCATATTTTTTAAAGGCTATCCACATACTTCACGTCGTTTAAAAAAATATTTCAAAAGATAATTGGCGATACGTGATTTTGAACGCATAAAACCATTTAAATGCTCTGCGAATACAAGAGTTGTTATCAAATGAAATTATGTTACATCACGATGACTGGCAGATTTTAACGACAAACTTTTTGCTCATCTGAAAAATTATAACACCTTTATTACCGCTTGAAAATTGTTAAAGGCAAAAAGGTCGATGAAAAACATTCAATGTTTGCACTGTGTTCACCTTCCATACTTCATTCCATTCTTTTATTATTGCATTTGTCGCTTTGTCTCACAATTTTTATTATCTCTTTCCTCGGGCCCAACTGGAGTGACATGACTTGCATTAATTATACTTATACAAAATTTACGGTAACGGCAAAAACGGCAGTATATTCCAACAACCGTATTCCACTGTAGCAATAGATTAAATTAAATCATTACTTACTATCTCATAACCTATAACTTCTACTCCTCCTTGGTGTGGACTTCTCACTACCAGTCGGTGTCCCAGTTATGCTCGTACTCGGGAATAGCCTGCAAACAAATCAAGCTTACTTCGTCATTTCTACACGAAGCTTTTTTAAGACTTCATTGTCACTATTTTAATAAAATTCGGAAAGAAAGTTAATATTTCATCTCAGCAAATTTGGACCATTAAGAGCTATTAAGGTATGATAATATAATTTTTACGCACTTCATAACTCGTCTGTACTCGTCCAGCATCTCATCGACCGGCTCCACGAGGCTCGGGTCGTATGTCTTCAACGCCAAGTACGGCGCTCCTGCAGACACTGCATTTGTCATCTGTGGACATTATAGAGAACACAGAAAGTGATTCATTGTCATAGTCTTGCACTGAGTTGAAAGCTTGTTCTAGTCGAGTTTTCGCTCACCACTTGCTTGTTTGCTTCCATTTCTGCCAATTTCTTATTCAGATCATTCTTAAGTCCTTGCATAAGAACGAAATCTTTCTCCAAAATACCTTGTAAACCTGTTTTAAGAACAAGAACTGTTTAGCGTCCATTATGAAAAAATAAAACTGATCGCATTAATAAAAATGGCATATAACATGTAAATAAATATAGAGATACTCTTACCTGCATTCTCCAGTAATGTATCAAGATCAGTAAGAGGGAACTCAGCTGTTGAAGGCGACAGAAGTTGAGGAGTTGGAGCTAACGAGGGTCGCAATCGAGGAGTCGTAGATGATGCTGTAAAGTTAAGTAGAATAGAGTTGAAACTTATTTTGAAATAAAAAACAGCATTGTTCATAATAATAACTACTGTTTGTTATCAGTGCAAATTGCGTTTAATAACATAAACACCTACAAAAATTGCAATGTTTGAGGAATATGAAGGTTTACTTGATTGTATCAAAGTGTTATGTAGTTATGTGCGTGAATGCGTCAAACATAACCAGTTTTTACTGATATTTGGTAACCGATATTCATTATTTGATAGGAATGACGAACGAAAGAAAAAGTAAGATTATCAACTTCTACCATATTAAAGTTCGGAAATCAATTCTAAGCTGGTGCTTATTACAACGAAAAATACCCACTACTTGTAGCAGGATAGTCAGGCAGGTCCCAGACAGAGGGTCGTCGTGCTCGCAGCGTGTCAGCGGGCGGCGGCACCACATCACCCGCCACGTCAGTCAGTCGCACCGTGCACACAAAGTCACAGCACGACACTAGTATCTCGCAGCGGTTGAACCGTTTGTACTCACTGCCAACAGTAATCACTCAGAAATAAGGTCTATAATGGTGTAAGTCGAGAGCGGTCACCGGTGACCGCTTGGATCTTGACCACAACGAATTCATGGTAGTCAGAAAAAACTGCAGTTATAAGTTAGTTTTAAATAAGTATTGAAAGAAGTAAATGAAACGTAATTTTTGCGTAAAGAACTACGATCGCCTATAGTGATTTTAGGCATATAGAATTTCTGTCAAAAACCTAGACGATTCAGAGATTTTGGATAATTATTAATTTGTATCGTATAACTTCAAACATACGGTTCATCTTTCAATCCTTTCTTATCCCACTCGTTGTCCATATCAAGCTGCAGCATCAGGCCGCCAGTAGACCCCTGGTATACGCTGGACGCTCGCCGGGACATTACTATCGGTTCTTCCAATATTAATTCATCCGTTTCTTCTTCGTTCTCTTTGCGAACAGGACCTAAGTAGGTATATTATTGTCAAAACATATAACGCATCGGTTCACAAGTCGATGTATCGTGGTTGATGTTATGATGATGATGAACCAATTCCAAGAATGGAATCCATAACTATATACTTTAGTGTTCAAATAATAGAGCATAAAAATCATTAATAAGGGTTCTGAGATTTATGAAAAACTTAAATCAAATAATATTGATTTAGATGTTCTGATTCTCACCAGGATGTATACAGTACGGGCCGAACTCCACCTTCTTGCCGAGAACTCCTAGAAACGGGAACTTAATCTTGATAGTTTGCAGCAAACATTCCTCGTACAGATCCCAGATGTATAACGTCTGTGAAGGAAAACAAACAGCAGGAAATGAAAAAAAAGGCCGATATGCAAATAGATGGATCACCTGACGGTAAACGATGAGCGCTGCCTTTAGACAGACGATACACTAGAACAAGTAAGGTACCTTTGACACCAGTAAATACATTTATGTTTTGAAGTTGAACTTACACAGTTATTACAGAATGCGATGATGAGTTCGTGTGCAGCTACTATGGCTAAGTCTAATATTGCAGGCGAGGTAGGAGCTGCAAGCGTAGCGAAAGGTGCGCGGCCACAGGGCTGCCACAGTCGCACTGAGCCATCACAGCCGCCTGTCGCGACCAAGTGTAGCGCCGATACTATGTGGAAGCAAGTGACTCCCTGAAATATTTAGAAAGAAGCCTTGTAGAAGTTAGACTACATAAAATTTTCTCTATACTTCATTCGCAGTATTTACAACATATATTATTAAAGTAGTCTTCAACATGAATGGGCCGGCTGGACCGGAGTGATACCACGGCTTCATAGAAGACCGACGTGAAACAACGTTGTGTTGTGTTTCGTCGTGTGAGTGAGGTTACCGGAGTCCCAATTACACCCCGCCCCCCTTTTCCCCAATCCCTGAATCCCAAACAATCCTCAAATTATCCAGAAGGCCGGTAACACACTTGTGACGCCTCTGGTGTTCCAGGTGTCCATGGGCGATGCCAATTGCTTACCATCAGGTGATCAGTCAGCTTGTTTACCGGCTTATCCCATAAAAAAAATAGTCTAATAAAGAAACATACCAAGAACAATAAACAATTGTGTGGTTCTTACCCTGATTACTTTGAAGGCATAGTCATCCATCTTGCCCGGCACATGTCGAATGCGTACACTGGCAGTAGCATCATGTGAGCAGCTGACGAGGATGATGCCTCCGCGACTGTACGCCACCCGCTTTACTGACCGCGAGTGGACTTTGCGCCATCGTACGATACTACAGTATGAAGTGTGAGGGGGCGATGGTAATTCCTGGAATAGCAGTAACTTATAAACATAATGATGACACCTATATTGATCTTGTTCTTGCTATTGTTGTGTTTTACTAGTAGCAATAAGCTCTAATACTTATACTATTAAAAATTCTTAGTTTCACATGGGTTATACGATTCTTGGTATCTAATCGCGATCTATACTAATATTATAAAGAGGAAAGATTTGTATTTTTGTATTTTTGTATGTTTGTAATGAATAAATTCAAAAACTACTGAACCGATTGCAATAATTTTTTCACCATTCGAAAGCTGCATTATTCAGAAGTAACATAGGCTATATAATATCACGCTAGGTCCTATAGTTGTGGAGCAGTAACATAAAATGTTTTAAAAACGGGGGAAAAGTATCGTTTCTGAGGCCTTCCGTGGCGTGCGCTGAGCATATAGTTAAAGTTATACAAAAATGTTCTATAGATGAATTGTTTATCTTAACATTATTTTTAAAAAAGTCCGCGAGAGCATATGTCTACCTTTTATAGTTTACCCATAACAATCGTTTTAATGAATGGTTCAATCCTTATAAAAGTTTGCTCTAGATAACTTTTGAATTGTTCAATCGGTTACCTTAAGACGCGACATCGACAACGGAGGGCAGGTCGCTAAAAAAAAACTGAGAATAAATATAAATAAAACGTAAAACTATGTAAAAAATCTTAAGTCCCCCCCGTGCGAAGCCGGGACGGGCCGCTAGTATTCAATAAACAGGTGCAAAATGTTCTTCTTAATATGTATTTGTGAATTAAGTCGAGAAGGAAATATGAATAACTGAAAACCGAACTATCCCTTATCCATAATGCACTATCAAGCTAGACTTACCATCCAGAAGTAATAATTGATAGCATCGGGTGTCTTGGTGTGGAACAGTTGTAGCTTCGGCTGGAGGAATCTAATCAGCGTGATGTCTCCGCGCTCTGTGCCGAAAGCCAGTTCCGAGGTGTCACATGAACGCGAGGATGGAGTGTACGCCATGCACTGGAAACAAGATTCGTTAAGTATAGTATCCAACAATGTTGTGCAAAAGAAGACTGTTTACAACTGAGGATTTATTTATTAAGGAGTGATAATTTTCTTTAAACATAAGAAATGTTTGCATGCCTGATGGCAGAATGTACCAGGAACGATATATCTTTATAAGATCTTATAATATGTGAATGCAAAATGAAGTAGGTATAACTTAAAGGTTACACAGTGATTATAAAATCTTAAGAATGTGTACGCACTGTAGGAATATTTGGCAGTCCAGTAATACAGAAGAGGGGCGTGTGTGATAATGTTGCAGCGTCATACACCGTCAAGCTGCGGTCTGATGCGGACATCATGAGGTACTGAGCATCCTGGAACACAGTTCACGAAATAGTTTTGAATAAAACTTTATACACTTTCACTTATTTTAGTTACTAGCCAACCAACTTACCGGTAAGTATATTGCGTCGGTTATCCATCGGTTTTTAACACGTTTGCGGACCCCTGACCGATGGTAAAACATCTGGAACAATTTTAACATTAGATTATTCTTCAAGTCCAATCGTTTTTTTTAATTATAGTAGAAAGTTATTGTTACCTCATAAGAATGCAATAGACGCATGTCACCACTGTAGACGCCGACTCGTCCACCACGAGAGACCGCCACGTAACAGAACGAATCCTCACGCTCCACACACACCAGCTTCACCAGCGTCTCCCGCTATAGACATTTATTACAGGTATGTTCAACAATAAAACGAACAATCTTAAATTCATCCCTTAATTTTGAAAAACAAAACCATAACGTCACGCCTGTTATCCCTGAAGCGGTAGGCAAACTATTACTCGGTTTTAAAAAACAGTGGTAGCACGGAGTCTAGAATTGTGCCCGGTATATGGCAATAGGCTCACCCCCTATTACATGGGACTTATAACATAAATAGTGAAAAATGGGTGTTACATTATACAATGGCTTAAGTGCCGTCATGTGCACCTCTGCCTACCCCATCTGGGATAAAAGGCGTGATGTTATGTTATGTTAACAGTCCCTAAGTAAACAAAGGATTTCCGTTTCAAATTTAGGATTACTACAGTCTAATGGATAAGTATACCTTGCAGTGGTCCAGCCTCTTGATATCCTGTTCACTGAGTGGCTTCCACACTTCAGCTCTGGTGCTCGTTTTCTTGGCTCCAACGGCTACCAGCCGACATATTAGTTGTCTCCACCATACCTTGCCACTGCTGAAGCTGTCCAACAGTTGGAACAGCTTATGTGCATGGGTTGTGTATTTGTGGTGACCTGTGTTTGCCCAAATATATGAATTTGTAAGTAAAAAAATATTTGGCTGCTATACTCAAATATTTTTCAAAAACAAAAGGTGAATTAGGCTTTGAAGTATGATTTTTTATGCGTGAAAAAGAGCTTCATCGCACTACATCATTAGGCTGGTTTCTGGATGTTTTCCTTGAAAAAACGTCAGTCATATTTTTTTTACAATACGAAGAAAAATTTGTTTGTTATTACCAAATATTGAATCCAGTGAAGTAACAAATCCAGCTTCATCCAGCCACAGCGAGTCTTGTGGCGGGGGATCAGCCTCCGCGAACTCGATGCCCTCTTCAGCTGCTGCCGCTCTCATCACTTCCTCTACACGCCTGTTACATTCAAAGAAAGCATTAAGACTATTATATTTATTTGTAAAAACGAATTGTTAACAATCTACGAAGATGAAATTGCACGATTAAAGAAATTGCACTTAAATTAGTTCATTCTTTCACAGACGCTGACAAGCAGGCTAGACTTATAAAGCTTCTTTTGCACCGAAGTTAAATACTACTCACCTGTCGATATCCTGAGCTTTGGTCCTTTCTTTATTTTTCTTGAAGCATCGTCTCAATTTGCTGAGTACTGCCGGAGTCATCTTATTCATTAGAGTACGCGCTAAGCATTCATCTTCATCATCGCTGAACGAATAAAGCCACAAATCAAATTATTCTATAATCGACCGAAATTTTATCAATTTTACAAAATTACACAAGGCACAATAGACACAAGGCACATGGGTAAACCTCTTGATAGATATCTAAATAAGCGTGAGTGCGTCAATGCCGTAGAATTTTGTATCTACCCACGCATTTTTTTTGTATGAAGACGTCAAAGTACTTTGCCATAATGTTTTACCAAACATTAAACTAGGTAGTTTTTTTTTAAGGGGGGAAAATCATCGAATGGCTGCTCCCGTCTGGGTGAGGCCGGAGGGAGTGTCAGACTTTTACTGACTAAAAACCACCCGGTTCCTACTCCTGCCCTTCGAGCCGGAGCCCCGGCAACACGTTAAATTTTCCGTGGCTCCGTATCGGCATCAGCCTTATTAGGACCCATCCGTGGTGGTCTGTTGGCTCTTTGAGGCGCGCGCGGAACGCGACGCGCCGTACGCTCGGGTATGTTTCTCGTCGGGCGGTGTTTAAAGCAACAAGTTATTGACAAACCTCTTCGAAATACGAACCCAGATAGACTCTCCTCCGAGGCACTCCTCACTGAATAACTTTTTTCTATTATCTCTGAACACTCTTCAAGCAACGATTTCTCGGATTTAATAGACATTCTGTTGTTTTACAAAACTTTAGCAAAAGACGTACTTATTTTTGAGATAGCATTTGTTTTGTCGATATTTTGGCGCTCACTACGTAACTGACAATTCAGAAGTTTAGATATTCAGCGCCATCTGTCTTTTGAAACCTAAACTGATTAAAGAGCTATTGAGGAATTGAAACGTTACACTCACCCCATTTGTTCGTTTTCGTTGTTGTGCGTTTGAGTATTCCATTCTAAAGATAGATGGCGTTACCTGTTCAATTTAATGTTGTTATGAAAAACGGAAACTGGGAATTGTGGAAAATAAGACAAGACGTGTGGCAGAAAACGGACACCATTTGTACCCATTTCTAGTGGTGTAGTATTTCAATCTGAAATTATGATGACGGCACATACATAATCTGTAGCGGTTTGAAATAAAACACAATAATGAACATTGTCTATTTTATTGTATGTATGTATAATAATACTTACAACTAGTACTGTAACTCTAAATGTAGGCTATACATACACGGAGCGAGCGAGTCATCGTAATCAATTAAAATATTCATTTGTTCTAGAAGTTATTAACCACTCAGTTCTTTACTTATAGAAAAATCGATAGATAAATAAATTAATAAGTACGGCACATGACTTCTAGTATACAATGTATTGTGACGTCACCTCTACCATTGAAAACTCCAAGTAGGTACTTATTTGAAGCATTTAACAGAAGTTTAGTAAGCTTCACTTTGGTGTTCGGAAAAGAAAATATAAGTATCATACAAGTATCTTTCTTAAACCTAAGAGATTCAAAATTAAAGTAAAATGGCTCCGAGACATTAAAAGAAACAAAACAAAAGCAATAATACTTACACACAAAACAACGGACGGAAAATACACAGATTAAAAATTAACACAAAGAAAATTACGACAGATAATAAAATGATTCGTTAAATCGGAGCCCAAAACAAATAGGAACTATCAACCACTTTCAACTAATACAAAAACGTGTTTAAAAAACAGTGGCCGTGAGTTCAATTTCGTTTATCTATATTGAATATACCTAGCTATACATTTACACACATAAAACATACTTTGGATCGAAATTCCGTATACAGGGTGTGGGAATAAGATTAATTTCCACTTTATTTTGATTCTTGTATAATAATAACGTTACACACTGAACTAATTTACCCTCTTTTGTCGTAAAACTATGTTTGTATACATTTTTGTTTAAGAGAAAAAACTCTAATGGCTTTTCTTTTCTGCCTGGGAACCTACAGACCGGGACAACATTTAAAATTACTATCACATTCCCTATTGCATTATGTAAAGTAATTTAGTTGCACTAGGTATGTGTGTCATCTGTAAACTCATCTACAGGAGGTCGGGCTCAGTCTTCTTATATTAAATGCTGGTAATACTGATTGATACATTATTTGCGATGCAATAACAATCCACGACAAAGCCCGATTGAACCAAAATATTGCTGAGGGGGCGACATGAGTTCCGATGTGAAAACATTCATTACTGTCTTGAATTAAGTAAGTAGCATTTTTTCGATTAAGTTTTCGAAATAATAGCTGTTATGTTCTTAAGTATCGGAACCCATACACATAGCCCCATTTTCTTACGGTACACTATTCTAAAATGTTGATTTGGAATGTTTGGAATCCGTACCTAAACCTCGGATACGACAAACTTTCGTAAATACATTAACATTACTGCTATTTAACACTATTTAATACTTCATACTCGTTACTTAAACAATAAATATCTTAATATTAAACTATAATTTATTATTGTACGAATGCGTATACATGTATTTTCTCGAATACAGCTCACAATTTTATCGTAAGTAGTTATAATGTCTCTGCAAATTTGCAATAAATATCATCGCGACAGCGCTCCAAAATTTTCACCTTTTCGAAGAAAATCGAGACTATTTTGTCCTGTGGCTTGCTTTAGTAAATCTCTAAAGCGCCATTCTTTAGCATGGAGTTCTACAATATTGTAGGTTCGTGCCATTTAATCTCACAATTTGTTTAACACAGCCAATGCGGATAAATGACAGACTACATAAAAACGTGTAGGTACATTTGTAAGTAAATACTTTTGAAGCCAAACATGACTTTTGCCATTTGAATTATTGTATCGCCCACGAAAACTAATACCAAGTGCGAAAACAAAATGGGTCGCGTAATTACAAAACTCATGCTTGACCCTCATGTCATTTCGTATACAGTGTATGCCAATTGGATTCATATAAACACATCAAAAAATTGATATCAATTTACGTATTGTAGAGCGTGGCACTGACTCACATGCACCACAAACTGCAATAAAATACATATCTATTAAGTTATGCCCCACATAAGTAAATATTTTAACAAACGTCCACAATAATTCCAAAAGTACATCATGTGCACCTTTTCCAAGCAAAAAATTAACTTTTTATACCATGGAATTAGCAAAACTAATGTCTTCAATAAGGGATTTACATGTCACAAACCAGTCTACGATCTCGACCAGGCGTGAACAACTAATTGGGAAGTAGTAACCGAACAAAGTATGCAAGCATCACTATAATACAAGGTCGATCTTCAATGGACTGAGCTGACCACTTAGTAGCGGTCGCGCGGTCAGAAGACGGGGTAACGCGGTCAGTAGACGGGGCTGTGTGCGTCGTAGTTGAGTTGCAAGTACGGCGGGATCGCGGCCGACAGCTCGGACGCGCGCCGTCGCAACGCTGCGATACTATGTCCACGCCACACTTCCTCCTCTGCGGGTTCGCCACCATTACCTGATGCAAATAATGAAAATGAATTCAAAATATTATCAAAAGTTTATTGAAGATATACTAAAAATCAAAAAACTGTGTGCTATAAAGCAAATAAATCTCACTGTGCATTTAGACATAAGATAAAGACCAGACCTGAAGACGATGGCAAATGTGTTTTTTGTGTGAACTTACCGGAGGCAGTAGGCGATGCATTGTTGTTACCGCAGTGTGCCATGTGAGGCGGAGTGGGTGAGCCCTCCAGCGCGCCCTGCTGCTGCTGGCTGATGTTGTTGCAGTACGACATCATCGTGTCCCCTGCAAATAACAAAACAATCGCTTGTGATTTCAAGAAGAAACTGTTAAGTAGGCATAAAGCATTTGATCTGATTTCGGGTCGTCTGATTTCCAAATTTTCAGAAATAGTAGAGCAATATTTTCTGTAAAATGTTTTCAGTGATATTTTGACAGTCTCTGCCTTGACTTTTGCGAGGTGTTGGTTCACAAGTGATACACAGAAATTAGTTAACATTACATTAATATTCAATGCTTTGGGTGATGGACATAATAAAGATGACTAACCAAGAGAGTTGAGCGGATAATGTCCTTGGTACGGTTGTCCAGAGGCCACGGAGCTGATAGGCAGGGATGGGTTGAGGTCAGCAGCTAGCTGTGGTAGGCCACCCGCGCCGAAACCACCCATGGACACACCGCCTTGTGATAGCTGACCTAGACCTGAAAGTTTTAAAATTTGATCACATCAATCACAAAAAATTGAACTTTTAAATATTGAAATATCTTCTCCAAGGTTTAACTACCAACTTTGTACGTGGAAAAACAGGATTTCTGTTTATTTTTGCCTTTAAGTTTCGAGTAAGTTCTCTTTTAAATTCAGTTTTTTACACCCAGAAGTTTCGGCTATCTTAGGTACGAACCTATTAATTAATAGATAGACTGTAATATTGCATCGCCTACGAATTATTCACAGGTATAAATGGTTATACTTATACCTGTGAACTATTGAGATAACTACCAGCTTTAATAATATTAATGCGATAATCAACAGTAACTCGAAACTTAAAAAAAGGAAATAAGTAATTTAAGAAAACGATAAGAAATAAGGACTATTAACCAGCAGGCATAGACCAGGGTCTATCAGCGAAGACGCCAGGACTGCAGACGTCTCCGGCACCGAATGGCGGCAGTCCGTGCGACGGCAGCAGCGCGCCAGGGGAACGGAACACGTTGGTACTCTTCTTGCGTTTCTTCCACTTCGCTCGACGGTTTTGGAACCAGACCTGAGAAAGAGAAAAAAATTGTAATAATACTTAACTACATGACGATTGTTACTTTAGACACTACCCTTTGTCCCGGAGGATTTGAGAATGTAGAGGTAGTAACACCACAGTATTTCTAGTTCCTCAAATGTTCATGTTTGTCATATCATTTATCTTCCTGCTAGCAAAACTACTTTTGCAATTTGAAAGTCAACCACTCAACCACCAATAGAGTACCTACTTGTTCAGTGATATTTACATCAAACACACCATGCTACCCATGTTTCAAAAAACTAAAAATACCTAGTTAATAATAAGGCAGGTCCGTCCACTGTCCATCTAATCCGTGCCCGATTCTAAGATTTCCCATAACTTAAATCACCCTTCGACGATAATCATCGATCACACGGAAGCCCTAAACTCAGCCTGTCCACGTGAGGCTTGTCTGAAATCGCACGTCATTTGTCAGCGGCTCACAACTTATTGATTCTGATAATGCTGGGATCATCCACCGCTGTTTATCATTGTTTGGGGTGCTACCCGCTATTAGAATCCGTGGCCTTTGCTGGACTTTGATCTGTCTTTTCGATTATTTTTGCGAAAATTGCTAATAGGAGATGAATGAATTTCGCTGCTAAATCTTTCAAAGCACTATAGAAAGTTACGGTACATTTATTTTTTATTTATTTATTAAGAGTTACCAACATTTGATGACACAACGCTACACATAAACTAAACGTAAAACATACAAACATAACATCACGCCTTTTATCTCCGAAGGGGTAGGCAGAGGTGCACATTATACCACTGTACAATGTAACACCCACTTTTCACTATTTATATTATGAGACCCACGTAATAGGGGGTGAGCCTATTGCCATACACCGGGCACAATTCCAGACTCCGTGCTACTACTGAGATTTTTTTTTAAATCCAGTAATACTTTGCCCGACCCGGGAATCGAACCCGAGACACCTTGCCCGACAGTAGCACTTGCGACCACTCGGCCAACGAGGCAAAAACATACAATCAATGAGAAATGAGCCTAAGTGTAGCAAACAATTACAGGTAACTACAGCATTCACTGATCACTATATATTTGCGTCAATTGACTAAAAGAAGAATTTATCTAATTCATAGAATATAATAATCATCATCAATAGGTACTATGCAAACTTTATCTGATTGAAACAAAGGTTTCTCCACAATCTCACTATTGTTGTACACAAAGGTAAGTCAATAGAATAATAATATTGGATAATGTCCAATAGTTGTAATGCGACGGTGTGCAAAAATCAGTATAAAACTGTAATAACAAACAAAACAAAAGTATCTTTCTTCCCTCGCAACGTGAAAATGTCGACCACATTAAAAATTTAAATGATATCGGTTCTTTAGTGACAAGCGGCAGCGATTCTTATTTTCCCGCTTCTTTTTTAAACTATGTTCCTACATCATTTTGATGGTTATATAAAAGTCACGTTTCATTAAACTTGAAACATATAACTGAGGCTTATGGTACGGTTCATAAAATCAAGCATAGAGTTAGATTTTCAATAGAGAAAATCTCAAGTTTATTTGTATATGAAGCAGTAGATTTTTACCGACTTTATATATCTCTCAATCATAAAATTGTACTAGAAATAATGATAGTCAAATAGAACCTTATGAAAATCCATTAAAACAACGAAGTATTGAAGATTGTAGATCACACATTTGAAGTCGCATACTTAATTGGTTATTCTTATTTTCCGCTACAACTAAGCATAGTGTAACGCTACCTTAAAACTGCAAACAAGCGAGAGGCCAGATAAGTGAGAGAGAGGGGAATACTCATTTGGCAACTGTCACCGGCAGGACTCTATTATTTATGGTGTCAGCGGTGGGGATGCCCGCCTCGCCTGCAAACGTTCACGTTTCCAAGCTTTTTGTTTGTTTTCTACTTCGTGGTAGACAAACAATGTTATGTACGTGCCGTGGGAAACAGGCTTCATGTCTGAATTGTGTTCCACCAATAGTAGCTACTAAACCAAGAAATTCAACAAAATAAAGAGGATAAAGATGAAAAGCACAATATGAGCAGTGAGCACCATATAAAGTAAGAAGGTAAAGACACGCGGTTTTTAAATTGAACTTGCTTAGCAAAAAAAAGTAAAGTTTGTTGTTGAATAAATACTATAATGGCCTAATTCATAACGGAACCGAAATTTGACATTAGTTTATTGAGTTTCTAATAAAAACCTAAACTGATCCAGATATTTTGGAATAAAATCAGTTCTTTCGATTTTAATAATCGACGGTTATTCGAAATCCTAGTAATATTTTGTCAAGATTCCATAGATCAACTAAACATAAATGGTTCAGATTTAAACAATAATGTGGCCGACAACACAACAACTGAAAACATTTCCAAATTTCCAAGTGATAATTCATAATAACGCAACATTTCCCTCGACCCTGCGTGTATGAATGTTTGTGCAATACAATGAAGTTTATAAACCGGCCGGGCGATGGCGGGCGCGTCTAATTAGGCGTACCGTATAGTTTCCCAACGTGAGCTATGATCGTGAGCTCCTAGTTAGCAAGCTGTGTTTGTGTGTCGTGGCCAGCTACCACCGGATAGCGGGTGAGTCTTCAGGAGTGTCACGATGTATGAAATCTCGGCTAGTTTGTTGTACAGTCAATAAGTATTTAGGTATACGTACTTGGTAGAGTCCCACACCTGCGTATTCAAAGTAAAATCAAAATTTCAAAGTGGTTACAGAAGCTAGACTACAACACGACGGAACTGTTACTAAGTACACCGTCTTAATATAGAAAAGGGAAAAATATACATATATTTTTGGACTCCGACCGAAATAACCACTATTTGTATATGGTTTCTCCCTTATCTCTTTTACCTCACCTACACACCATGCACGCATCACACACTCACCTCACACGCATCACACTACACACACTACTCCACACGCAACATGCAATTTTGAAAATGTAAAAGATTGTTTACTCTTTGTTTTGTAACAAGTATGCAGTGTATCTCTGAGTTTTGTTTATTTTCTTTTATTTTTCATATCTGCTACATCGAGGGGTTTGTCCTTCTGCGAATTTATGATGGATATCTGTAATCTGTAACTGGTCCGAGGTGGGAGCCTGGAGATCCGTCACACAGGGAATCCTAGTATGGACTCCAGTCTCTCACAAAGGAGTACATTGTTTGCATCTTATTATTGTATCTTATTTCTGTAAATTATCCTTTGTGTAGAGAGATAATAAATAAATTTATTATTATTATTATTATTCACATATCGAACTGCCTACTTATGTAGCATTTGTAAATCAAAGAAGCATCGATGCGAATTGTAAAGTATTGGTTGAGTTTGAAGACATAATGAGGTTTTAGTAGAATTCTGTACATCACAAACGATACAGCTATATAATTCGGAGCTTATTGCCCAAGTCGCGGTGCAAAACTAGTATTTGTAGCAAAATATTTGTTTGCCGCCATCTTCTGTATCATGTGCCCCAATACTGATGGTTGGCGCCAAAAATCTGTTACTTACAACATTTAATATTTATCCGGTAGCAACTAGTTGTGTACCTATTTAGTCATCTGCACTTAGACGCTAGGTACACAACATACACCACATGTGTGAAAAAAATATGCAAATGTAAAGAAAATAGCTTTAAACACACAAATATTGCCTTGAATCAACTAAAATCTTCGCGATTTCCTAAAAACCGATAGATTTTTGTTTTCAATCCGATGAGTCTTCTTAGCCAAATGCCTTTGGCTAACACAAACAGGCTTTTGTGTTACAGAGCAAATTTTTGCCATCTTCTAAATATTAGATGAACGATCAGGATAATATTTCTGCCAATTAATCTTTTAAAACTACGTAGGAATATAAGATTTTTGAACGTATAAGTAATTAGAAATTTGTAAAAATCTCCAAATTTTTGAAAACTTTAATATCTATCATAGTATTTCGTCTTCCTCAGACGGTGAGTCACCTCGTGAAGGCTATAATGAGCGTAGCACGCATCATATGGCGCCTATCTTGCGCCAGCTTGGTGCGGTGTTCTAACATGAAGAACAAACATACAGTCACGGTAGCGAAGCTGTTGCTACCAGCCAATAGAGGTACTTACAGGAGCCTACTAGAGAGATTTCATTTCTTTACTGTAATGCTTAATAACGTTCCAGGTTCTTTCTGTTAGTTCCAAGTCAAAGAGTTCCTCACCAGCACTTGTGATAGTCCATTGCTAGTTATGGACCTCCTTTATTTAGATACGGTACGTAGGCATATTGGAGTTTACAGATTAAAAATGTTTTAAGGTTCTAATTTACATTATTTAAGTTGATGTGTACCAAGGGTGATTGGTACTAACAATAGTTTGTAAGTAATTTTCTATGTAACACTAACATTCGATGGACTTTGTCTGAAATAAATGCCTTATTATTATTATTATTATTTACAGAGTCTCTTAGTCTCTTAGTCTCTTAGTCTCTTAGGTCTCTTAGTCTCTTAGGTCTCTTAGTCGGCTCTTTTGATACCAGCGGGATTTGATGCTTAAAAAGTCCCATGCAATATGGGATGGGATGAGTCTACTACCACCCCTATATAAGTACAATTTGAGACTACGTGTTACCGTTAAGAATTTTCGACAGAAAACTACGATACTTTGCTCAGCTTTCCTACTTAACAATCATGCGACAGATAATATTGTCTTTAAAATACTTTAATTGTTCAATAATGTGTACAGGACAAAGGCTGGGTGTCTTGAGCGTCCCTCTGTGAGTGCGAGCTACAGTACATAGCGCGGTACATAGAGACCGCTCGATACATACGCGCGCACGCGTACACGCCCTGCCAGGGATGGGATCAAACTACCGAAATAATGCTCCGTTGTTGGCATATTTTCATTACTTCTTCCAAAGTTGTTAAAAAATACTTTAGCAAAACCAAGACCAAGTCATAGAATGGTTCTATGCTTCAGGACGATTACCTATTTATTAGGTA